TTAAAATTTGTCATTTTTAATAAAAATACTTGCATCATGAACACATACATTGTTTTTTCAGCTTGTCTTGTTGTTGTGTTAATGGTGGTGTTCTGGGACTTTGTCATGCTTTGGAGCCTTCTACTACTTAACTAGACCTGTAGCCCTAAAGATTGTCTTTATCAAAAATATTAATAGCAAATTCTTTAATCCTGCACCCCAATCATGGACTATATTAATACACTCTCAATGGAACAGCCTCAGTGTTGTTGAGATAAACACACCTATTTGGCCAAAACCATCTTGAACTCCAATGAGTCAGCTTATACTAGGACATCTAGGAAGAGCTGTGTCTTGCTCTTGCTCCTCCTTCCTAGAAGGTTTAGTAGAATGAACACATGGGACATTGGGCTTGGACTGTAAACTCACTTAATGTATGTGAAATTAGGCAAGTCAGTCAGCGCTTAAGGATATAAATTCATATAAAAAGGAGAATAAAAATGGATTCTTGGGACTGGAGAGGGGGCCAGGAGTTAAGAACATTTGATCTTACCAAAGACTGGACTTCAGTTCCCAGCACCCATGATAGCTTACAACCATTGGGGATCCCAGACCAGGGGACCTGACTCCTTCTTCTGGCTCCTGTGGAATTGCACACATGTGATACACAGACACATCAGGCAAAATGTCCATAATCATAAAATAACAATAAATTATGTTTTAAAAATGAATACTTAGCAAATGTGTTGACAATAGTTAAATGTACCATGGAAGTAAATGACACAGTATAGCACTTCTAACCGGCAGTGGTCCATTAGTGTTCCTTTCTTGGCTTCTCCCTCTTCTGATGTGAGAAGAATTGACCTTCACCTTCAAAAAGAACATCCACTCTATCCATGTGGGTGATGTGATACTTCATTTTCAGTGTTTCCTTCACTGGATTTGAACACACCTAGGAGACACACCTCTGAATGTGAGAACAAGGTTGTTCTCTGAGAAGCTAAACTGAGGATGAAGACCCACTTTGATTGTGGGCAACACCATTTCATGGACTATACTGAATAAAAAGGGGAAAGGGGGATGGCAGCTGAGTACCAGCGTTCATTGTTCTGCTTCCTGACTGTGGATGCAGATGTATGTGATTATTTTTGCCCATGCCTACCATCCTGCCTTCTCTACCGTAAAGGACTATATCACCTCAAATCATAAGCCAAAAAAGCTCCCTCTTCCTTTAGGTTGCCTTTGTCACGTATTTTTCCACAACAAAGAGAAAAATAATTAATACAACTTCCTTCCAATTTCTTTAATATTTTCCCCCTTGAGATAGTGTCCCACTCTTGGCACAGGCTGGCCTGGAACTTCTGTTCCACCCAAGCTAGCCTCAAACTCATGACTACCCTCTTATCCTCTACACCCTCCTCTTTCACAAGACTTCCTTTTTCTCTTGCCTCTATTTCTTTTTCTATTCAATTTTGTTTCCTTTTGCTCCAAAAGAAGTATTTCCTACATGAAGAAACAACCAAATAGGCTATCCACCCCCTCCTGGTCAGTGACTAGTTAATTGGAGCTGCGATTCTCACCAGCTGTTTTCCCTTTGTGTCATCATTACCTTCTCAAAGGTCCCTTTTGACTACTAGGTCTTCTTTGTCTATATCCTCCTATGTCCCTCATCACTTCCAGATGCACTGGTCAACACACTTAGCACTTGAAAGAATGCATGGGTGTTTGCACAACTGATTTCAGTGTGTAGTTAGGTGATCAGTATCTGTGTTTCGAGGCCACTAACAAGGATCACTGAAGCAGAAGTAACCCAGGACACTAGGCCCTGTTTCTTTTCTGTTCTACTTTCTTCTGACCTTCTAAACAAAAGAAGGAATGCCAGATTACAGAGCCTCGCAATAAACTCCCCAGGACACATTTTCCCACATAGCATTGACCAGTATTTCCATTAGTGTGCCTTTCCTATACACTTGTTGTCTTTCTACTACATTCCTTTTTTTCTTATTGATTAAGAGACCATTGCATGAAAATGTGAAAATGAAACACAAGGTGCAGTAGAGACCCTACAATGTTGGAGATGCCAGAAACATAAAAAGGTCTGCCAAGGAGAGCTGCAGAGAGAGAGAGAGCAGAACCAGGCCAATAGAGAGATACATATGTTACAAGCAGAAAAACTGGAGGGGTAAAGCCGTGAAATATTTTTGGCATGGCATCAGACACAGAGCTACATGATTTGGTGTCTGTCCTAGTGTGCTCTAGTCTTGCTTTGTACTAGTATTTCCTCACCATGCCCCATTCTACCCTTTTGGACTTGCAATGTATATTTGGTGCCATTGTATGCTGAAACTGGGTTATTTACTATTTTTATCTTACAGGATTTACAGTTAAGAGATTGTCTTGATTATCTCACTCAGGATGTTTTTTTTTTTCTAGTTCCATCCATTTTCCTGTTTTTTTTTTTTTTCAACTGAGTTAATGCACCATCTATAAATGTACCACATTTGCTTTATCCAGTCTTTGGTTGAGGCTCATTTAAGTTATTTCCAGGTTCTCGATATTACAAATAAAGCTCCTATGAATATAGCTGAGCAAGTGTCCTTGAGGTGTGATTAAGCATCCTTAGGGTATATGCCCAAAAGTTGTATTGCTGGGTCTTAAGAAAGATTGATTCCCAATTTTCTGAGAACCCACCATATTGATTTCCAAAGTGGCTGCACATGTTTTCATTACCACCAGCAATGGAAGTGTGTTCCATTTGCTCCACATCCTCTCCAGCATAAGCTGTCATTTATGTTTTTTTATCTTAGCCATTCTGATAGGTTTAAGATGGAATCTCAGAGTTGTTTTGATTTGCATTTCTCTGATGGCTAAGGATGTTGAACATCTCTTTAAGTATTTCTCTGCCACCAGTCCCAGAAAGACAAACATAGTATGTACTCACTCATAAGTGAATATAAACTGCAAAGTAAAGAATGACCATTCTACAATCCACAGACCCAGAGAGGCGAGGTAACAAAGAGGGCCCAATGGGTGACACATGGATCTCCCTGGGAAGGGGAAACAGAAGAAATCTCTTGTGTGGGCTGGGGGCAAGTGGTGATGGGAACTTGAGGGATAGGGTTGGTGAGTGGGTGGAGGGGAAGAATACTGAAGGAGATGCCCAGAAAGGGGGACATTTGGGGATCAGGTAGAAACATGAGGCAAAGGAAACTCCCACAAATTGAGAAAGATAGCCCCAATCAAGACTGCTAGCAATAGGGGATGTGTAACCTGAACTAGCCATCTCCTGTGATCAGATTGATGACTCCCTTAATTGTTATCAGAGCCCTCATCTAGTAACTGATGGAAACAAATGCAGAGATCCACAATCTAACATTAGCTGAGGGAATACTGCTGAAGAGATAGAAGATGGATTGTGGGAGCCAGAGGGATCAAGGACACCACAAGAAAACTCATAGACACAACTAACCTAACTCATAAGAACTCACAGACTTTGAACTAACAACCAGGGAGCCTGCGTGGGACTGACCTAGGCCCTCTACATATATGTGACAGTTGTATAGCTTGGTCTTCTTGTGGGACTACTAACAACGAAATAAGAGCTGTTCCTAATACTATGGCTGACTCCTGGGAACTTATTCCACATACGAGATTGCCTTGCCTAGCCTAAATACAAGGGGAAGTTCTTGGACTCACCACAACTTGCTATGCTATGCTTTGTTGATATGCCCCTTTCTGAACAGAAGCAGAGGAGGTGTGGATTGGGGGGTGGCAGAGTGGAGGTGGGGGGATGGAATGGGAGGACACAGGGAGAGGAAACAGTGGGAAGCTGTGAAAGAAATCAATTAATTTAAAAATAAAGAGAGATTGTCTTGCGTCTCCAGAAATATTTTGGACTTATAAACATTGTTGAGATTTTTGAAAGACTATAAGGACTTTTGAAGTTGGACTAAATCTATTTTATACTGCAATGCGGCCATGAGGACCTGAGGTACACGGAGGAGAAAATAGTGTTTTGAATATTGAATGCCTCCTATAGACTCAAGCATTTGAACACTTGGTCCCTGGCTCTTGGAACTGTTTGGAGAGGTTACAGGAAGATGCAGCCTAACTGGGAGAACTACATCATTGAACGTGAGCTTTAAGAATTTATGCCCTTCCTTACTTCCGGTACATCTTTGCTTCATGTTTGCAGCTTCTTGCTCCTGTCGCCCTGTGTGTTGGTTGTTGCTGAACCTGTCTGTTGTACCCAGGAAGAACCACAAGCCCAAATACACTCTTTATTCCATAAGTTGATTTGGTAATGATTTTTTTAATCACAATGACAGTGAAGTAACTATTACAGATAAACAGTGACTAATTTACCAATAGGCATCTAACACTCAGATTTACAGTAGAGTTTAATGCCCTTCATAATTTACTCAGTATGCCTTACTCTCTGCAGAGGTGATCTCTTTTAATAGTGTTTGTTATAATTCTAGAAGCTCTGCCCCCCAAAATTATTATTTAAAATACTACCCCTAGTTATTCATTCAGCAACTAGAAATTTATATATTGAAATTTCATTATGATAGGTAAGGAACTCATTTGCATCCTAGTTGTGATTATCTCTATGCAATTCTATAGGGGAGGTGGTGGGGATAGACCCGGAGGGAAGGACAGGGGGAAGTACGGATTGGGATATAATATATGAGAGAAGAATAAATTTGCTAAAAAGTGTGATAATGGTCAAATAATCAAAGCAGTATGTAAAATCTTTCCAAATTAAAGCTTAACTCTGCTTCGGGGTTACAGGCATAATTGTTCTGCTGGAAGCCCCAGCTCTCTCTCTCTCCCCAGACCCTGCCCCTCTCAGAAAGCCCACCAAACAGCAGCCCCTCCCCCTCAGAAAGCCCTCCACAGGTGGCTCCTCCCCGATAGATGCCTAAGACCATGCCTACCAGTTATTGAAGACCCCGCCTATAGATCTGCAAATTGTGCCTTCATGCTCTGTTCCCTGCCTTCTTGAGGGTCACCCAGGAGTGCTCTGCCTTGCATTGTCCTGCTTATTAAATCTGAATGTATTGATTCGGTTTGATTTAGCTTATTGCATCTGCGGCAGTGGAGAAACCCAACAACCCGGGACACATTACTTAACAAAATCATTGTGACTCCCCAAATACCCAATACATGTGACCAAGTAATAAAAACAGACTTAAGTCTCCAAAACTTAGGTCATGATAAATTCAGAGGTTCTTTTCCCTGCCCCACGCGCCCTCCCCCCCATTTGTGTAAGCAGAAATGGTTTTGGAGACTTCAGGATTATGAAGCCAACTGGCAAGAACCAGTCCAGAAATAGGTGTGAAGGAAGCCAAAGTTAGGGGCAACAGAGAAATCCTGCAATTATAGTCAGTGTGAGGAACAAAACAGCTCCAGGGAAAGGAGGTGAGAGACAAGCAGAGCAGTAAGTTCCCACTGTGCCCCCGTGGGCACAATGCAGATAACCCGGGGTTTCTCTCAGGTATACAAGCACATCTGTTAGCTCACTTTCTCATTTCCTGCACAAGATATTTAATTACAAGCTCTGTATATCTACATGCCTTAAGTCTAACACAAAAGGTATTTAAAGGACCTTGAGCTAGTTAGCCATTGATAAAGGGATA